GTGGCCTTACAGCCTATTATACCACACATGAGCGAGAGTGATTGCTTTGCTGAGAGAGAGAGAGAGAGAGAGAGAGAGAGAGAGAGATTGCTGTGCAAGAGTGATTGCTTTGCGAGGATGTTTGATATGTAAGTTTTATTATTGCTTTTTAGGGTTCTGTTCCTGTATATGATTTTTTTGTTGCTTTCGTTTTTAATTGGTACATTACATTTAGGCGAGCTTGGATGAGGCAACGCCTGCCAGAGACTTCTTTCGATGAAACAGCTGTGGATAATCTAACGGGGGAAGTTGGATTGAGTCTTGGTATGGAAAACATACCAAGTGAGAACTTTTCAAATTCAGAGAAACCTTGGAATTAAAATGGGCGATCTTGAGCCAAATCCTTTCTATTTTTGATTGTTATATATAAACTTTAGTGTGTTAAAGAAGTCAATGTCTATTTAGGAGGTCAAATCCTGCAGCTGCAGTTGCTGAGGAACCTCAGACAGTTCACTTGTTTCGACCTGAGCTGCTGCGTTTGCTGTATAATCATCGATTCAAAGCCAAATATGGGGTCCATGATGCTGCAACATTCTTGTCAGCCAAGTGGAGGCTTCACGCAATGCTGCCGCCCGATAAGTCTATTGGGCATGTTGGTATTGCTTTGTATTTGCAGCCGCATCCCTTTCCCGGCTTGCAGGAGATTATAGATTTTCGGGAAAGGGGTGCGACTGCAAATACAAAGTAATACCAACATACCCAATAGACTTATTGGGCGGCAGCATTGCGTGAAGCCTCCACTTGGCTGACAAGAATGTTGCAGCATCATGGACCCCATATTTGGCTTTGAATTGATGATTATACAGCAAACGCAGCAGCTCAGGTCGAAACAAGTGAACTGTCTGAGGTTCCTCAGCAACTGCAGCTGCAGGATTTGACCTCCTAAATAGACATTGACTTCTTTAACACACTAAAGTTTATATATAACAATCAAAAATAGAAAGGATTTGGCTCAAGATCGCCCATTTTAATTCCAGGGTTTCTCTGAATTTGAAAAGTTCTCACTTGGTATGTTTTCCATACCAAGACTCAATCCAATTAAGTAAGTAGCGTCTAGCAATTTCGCCATAACAGAAAACAACAATCTGCAACAAAACCCTAAAAAAAAAACTAAATTTAAATAAAGATACAACCTAAATCGGATGTTGTCCAAAACACGCTGCGCTTCCCCCGTTAGATTATCCACAGCTGTTTCATCTAAAGAAGTCTCTGGCAGGCGTTGCCT